AATTTTGTTATGGTTATGATCAATGATTGGTAGCTTTCAAAGAAATTGTGGTCAATGCAATTCCATAATTTGTTTAACCACTAAACTACCATAATAATGACAGGATGTTAATCTTGAAACGGATGTTTTCTAGCTTTCCTATGTTTCCTCCAAATAGTGTCTAAAAGAGGCACATGCCCTCTTGCTGATTCATTTATGTATTTGCACAATGCATGCATGTTTGCAGGCATCCTTTTTCTTGGACAATCTAGAAGGAATATATGAACTGTTAATTTAGTATTTTTAATGGATGTGTTTAGCATTTTTAATGGAGGTGCCTTATGATTTTGTGCCTTGTATGTGCCCTCCTTTGTGTCAATTGCCTAGCAAAATGAAATCTTCGTCATCATGAAGGCAATCTTGAAAAAATCGAATTTTTCTACCAGGTAGACTTAATATGGCTTTAGTCATCTCATAATATGTTAGTGTGGTACATCTTGGTTATCACTGGCAAATTGGAATCTTTTTCTTGGTTGTTATGTGCTGTAGTCACTAACTTGTCGAATTTCATGTGCTGCACTGCACTTTTATTACATTTAGGTAGCATTATAGTGCCTGTTACTAATTGTCACCAAGATGTCTGATCTGTACATACTACATATTTCTGAAGGATAATGGAGATGAAGGGAAAGTTTAATATTCCATTAACTACCATGGGCTAAACTTTCTCTCAGAAAAAGAAGAAAAAAAGCATGAGCTCAACTCAACCTTTTCCTCTAGCACTGAAAATTTATTTTTATCCATTTAAATTTTGTTCCTGTCTCTTCAACTTGAATTGGTGGAAGTATAAAATGTTGATACCTGCTCAATAATGATACTGTTAAATCTTCTGTGTAGGACACCGGACATGTCAGTGATGCACCATGATATGTCTCCTGATCTTAAACTTGTGGGAAATAAACTGAAAGATGTTCTAGATGTACGTTTTAGTCTTTTAGACTTTCTCTTTATATGTCACATGCACACCCAACCACCTGTATATAGACTAGATGTTTTATATTTCTCCCAGCAGTCAATTTATTATTTACTTTACGAATAATTCTTCTCCTAGACTTCCACTTTCGCCAAATTATCTCTGAATGAACTTCTATCATTCTACTATTGACCTCTTGGTCTTGCATTCAATTACGTGGGCTGATTTCCTGCCTTCCATGGATCTCTCTTTATCATTGGTGCTTGAAACTTGATTTAGAGAAGTATCTTTGAGTTCTTATGAGAAGATGCTGAACTAAACTGATCTTATATCTCAATTAATTGATCAACTGCTGTGAGTGAAGGCAGATAACATGCATCTTACACAAGCATGTGGAAACTGATTCCCATTCTCATCAATTATTTATGAAAGGACAAAATACCACTAATGAGATATGATGATAATTGTAGTTATAATCTTTATCGTGCTGCTGCACTATCATATTGTGTATTACACTATTTTCCATGTTTCAGATATCTAATTCCTCCCTGAAGGTGAGAAAAGTTGTCATTGAGGTCTGCAACATTGTGGCCACACGTGGAGCACGGCTTGCGGCTGCTGGACTCTTCGGCATCCTAAAGAAGATAGGAAGAGACACGGTCAAGACGGGGGAGCAACAGAGATCAGTGATAGCCATGGATGGTGGATTATTTGAGCATTACACTGAATTTAGGAAGAGCTTGGAGAATACTCTATGTGAATTACTTGGTTCAGAAGTATCCGAGCACATTGTAATTGAGCACGCCAATGACGGCTCAGGCATTGGAGCTGCTCTTCTCGCTGCTTCCCACAGCAAGTATTGTCAAGCTGACGAATCTTGAAAAGAATAAAGCCGTTTTGCAATATTTTTTCCATCTTTCTTACCAAGTTTTGGAACCCATCCACAATTTTGAAATTAATAAGGGCTTATGCTGTTTGGGTTGCTAGCAGCTTCAACCAGAATTTTAATCCCATTTTTTTTCTTTTCCACCAGTGATTACAAATTCCTGTGATTTATACTAAATAAGAAAATGGTAAACTGAGCATTTTGTATTAGCCCCATTGTGGATTACTATCCTTGCTGCGGAATCTGATTGTACTTGGCGGGTTCTTTGTTCCTTTGTCTTTGGATATGGGGCTCATGGCTTCAGAACCAGCTTAAGATAGTGTAACAAATTTCCCGATTGTAGTTGATAGGTTTACATTGCTGAAAGAATAAAGGATGTACCAGGTTGTCTTCACTAAAGTTTGTGGTAGTTGCAGACGAATGGAGCTTAAACAAATTAATCTTTTATGGATTTCATGGCAACCCCCATCATTGTAAAGTGGAATGTATGTCAAGGTGGCATTACCATAAAGAGGAAAACCTTGGTCAATAATGAAATTTGTAATGATGTAAACTTCTTCCAGTGTGATAGTGAAGTTGGTCGTGATTAAACTAGTATTTGCAAATTGGGATATGAACGTTTTAGAGGAAACCATAGAAAAGTATCTATATGTATATCAATATCGCTTGTAGCACTCTGTTTCATGTCACAAACAAAAAGAACAACCCACTTCTCTCTCTGCATCAAAAGCACAAGGAAAGGTCTTAAACGAAAAATAAAAAAGAAAAAAGAGAGAAACTGTCGACCTCTGATTCAATCATATATCCTTCCTTTTGTTCTTTTCTCTCTTGTAAGGATTCAAATCAGTTCCCAAGAGCTAAATTTCCTGAAAAGTCTGTTTAGAAAATAAATTTGCCAATGTACATATAATCATACAAAAAAAAAAAAATACACAAGATTTGTTAAGGATATTTTTACTTCCAAGTTAATAGAGGGAAAAGAGAGAAGTAAAAAAATAATAACAATAATTTTGATTGTCTTCGTTCGAAACTTAATAATTCGGAGGAAAGGGAGAATGGAGTCCTGGAGCATCAATTAGATAGCATATCGTACACGTATAAACTATGTATATAAAGTATACATACTGCATATAGAATTTGTACATGTAATGTCTGTACAGTGTATTATACACGCTATATATGTAATGAGTATACATCGCCCTATATACAGTGTATATATATTGCATATGCGGTGTGTTTATTCAGTGTATATATGTTTTGCAAAAGAGTAGATAAATAATTTTTCAACTCACCAAACATCACATATTCATTCTTTTGTAAAACTAGAATGAGCAATATGAATAAATAAATCAAGAGAAAATTTATAAATAATACTCATAAAACACTAGAATTTATGACATATCGGATTTTTGACTCATTGTATCTACTCCAATTTAAGGAATCTAATCGTTACAAAATATTTTTTTTCACAAAGAAACATAATAAATTCACTAAGACTTTGTCCAACTTATTCATTACAGTCGAACCAACATATTAATAAGTTTTTACTCTTATTAAATCAAGTATTATAGGTTTATCACCGTCAGTTCCTAATACACTCATAAAAGGACGAAATTTATATTCTCAGTGAAGTTTGAATTTATAATCTTCAAATATAATGTAAAGATTTTAATAAAATAAATTAAATTTAAACTCTAAAATTTTAAAACTTGATGCCAATTGAATCTAAATTCTTAAAAGGATAGATTAGAGTTTTTGTGGAGGATTACAAGTGATTAAAGCTGGCCTTAAGGGTGGGAGACATCTTTATTTGGAAATCATAGGAAAAAGGACTTATGATCAATGTAAGAGCTTATCTAAAACCAAGTTATATGTAGTCCTATTAACTTTTTTTTTTTTTTCTTAAGTTGATCCAAACTCTTATTTTAGAGCCCATAGTAAAACATATACACTCTCACTTGGTAGTACGCTTTATAGTATATCATCACTCACTCAAAAATTTCGATTACTTATTCAAAAGCTAAGTGAAAGGGCTTGTCTTTTCAAATAATTAGTTTGAATTTGAGTCGAATCTCAATTAAATATAACAATTAGCACCAAAGTGCTCATCACTTCTTTTTATAACAAATTTTGTATTTTTAAAAACAATAATAGACATTTTAAAACATATTTCTTTAGATGTAACCATTGTTGTAATATGATTAAGTCAATAATCAATTTTTACTAATTCTACTCTGTTGCACGAAAAGAATTATAATTAATATTGTAATTTAATTATTCTTTTATTTTTATTTTTTTTTATGCAATCATAATTACATTACAATTTGTAATAAACATATATAATACGAGTTTAAATACTCAGCATTTATCTAAAGCTATAAACTATTTCTATATTATGAACATCTTGATGTATTTCCAAGTATCTACACAAAATTTTTTAATCATTTAAATATTTAAATGAATTTTAAAATATTGTAGATTCACAAATACAATTTAAAAGTTTACGTTTTTTTTACTAGATTTTTTCATCTATTTAGAGAAAAGATGAAATAATTTAGAAAAGAAAAATGAATTGGGTCGGCAGGGAGGGATTAGATCGTGACATTTTTTATTTTGGTACAAAAAAATTTACTTGTGATTTGAGTGGGAAGATAGTGTTGGACACCGGTGAAAAGGAGAGTTCTAGTAAGGTTGATATTAAGGAGTTTTCTTTTTCTTTTTCTTTCTTATTGTGTAAAGGAAGAAGAATGGTGAGATGAATGATTACAAGTTACAATGTTGTGATAAAAAGAAGAATTGTATTGTTTATGCGTAGACTGAGTCATTTTGAAAAGGAAGCCATATGTCCGACAATGATGAAATTAGAAGCAACCTTGAAATCATACCACTTTTGAATTCTCAATAATCATATATTACTCCATACACTTTATATTATTAGGTCGTTGACTTACATATATATATATATATATAAATGCATAAAATTCATGTAAACCAAATTTCTATTTATTTCACTGGTTATATAGTAAGTGGGCATCCATCAAAAAGGGCAATGATATTAAAGAGGATTTCAAAAAGTTAAACCATCATTTAGACATTATGTTTATGTTTAGCAATTTCCTCTCATTTTTTTTTTTTAAGAATGTTATTTTGGACCTAAATCTTGTTATCATGAAGGAAGTTATAAGACAAAGAAAAAGTATCTTTAAAAATTTCAAGAAAAAATATGTATAAAATAATAATATGTAAATCATTTAAAACAGAAAATTTTATTTAAAAAATATTCTACTGGCAGAGAATATATAGTTATTCCCTATAAAAGGTAATAAAAATATATATTTATTTTATAATTTATCCTATAGTGAATTTTAAGAAGATATCAAAAGTATGATTAAATTTTTATTAAATATAACATATAAAGGCAATATATGAAGAACACATTGATTTAAGTTTTGACAAAGAAGAGATGATTCTTGCAATAGAAAAATGCAAGTGGAGATGCTCATCAAAACTATTAATTCCTCAAATTTGTGTTTAGTTAAGTTAGTCCATATGGAAATGAATTTCTGGTTGAATTTTTAGAAAGGATTCTCTGTCACCCCACTTTTGACATTTTCCTTCCTGCACTACCACTACATATGTACATATATGTATACACTACTACCTCTATTATCATACAAATTTTCATTGGTATTTATTTGTTATTTTTTTTAGCCATGAAGACACCAACTCAAGCTTTTAATAGATACCCATTTGCATTTTCCAAGTTTATGTTGTTATGAACCATAAAATTAAATCCTTATCAACATTTTTTCTTAATATTTCATTATTTGTGTTAATTATTTCATATTGATAATAAAATTAAAAATTAATAAGAGCTAGACATGTATTAATTAATTGCGTGATCTAACGTTATACTCTAGAGAGATCATTATGACATTAAATTTAGTTCAGGTTTAAAAATAACAAAGAAAAAATATAAGAATAAAAATAATGAAGTCAGTATGAAAATTATTGATATCATGCGAAAACTATTATTTATTGTTTTCTAACAGATAGAATAAAAGTGTATTAAAATAAAATACTCGCACAATGGTAGTTCGGTCTTATAATAAATGCAATAAATATTAACTGATAATCCATATAATCTAGTAGTCTAAATTTTTTTCTCCCAAAATAAGTTATTTCAGTATAAATAATATCAATGACTTTGAATAAAATAAAAAGTCCACAAGCTATTTTATAACAAAAGATATGTTCAATGACTTAATTTTTTTTAAGAAAAAATGAATCAAAGTTCAGAATTAAATTGGTGGTGTACCCTTATAAATTTAAGAAAACTAAAGCGAATTTGAAATTCTACTTCATTAGAAAATTTGAAATTCTACTTTCTAATGAACAGCTAGGTAAAAATTTTTCTAAATTTAAAAGTTTCATAATTAAGAATTTACTAATTGTTCAATTAAATTTTTATTTAAATTAAAACTAACATACCCGAATTGTACTAGTTACTAACTAAAATCTATATGTTGTAATTAATTTTCTGTTGTCTAATTAATTATAATGTATTTAAAACTATAAATATGATTATAGATTCTGTAGTAATAAAAATTATTTAAATAGAAACTATAATAATAGCCTAATTAAAAAGTCCTTCGTAATAAAAAATGTGTCACAATTTTATATATTAAAAACTCTATTGAAGTTAAAATTATATAACTAGAAATTCTATTAACCGTCTGGTTAAAAGAATATATTGTTTGAATATATAGAGAAAGAGTATCAAAGATATATGTTGTATTTTCATTAACTGTTTAATTTAATTTTCTAGTATTGATAATAAGAAAATTAGATCTTTATTTGATAACTTAAGCAATTTAAGAATGTTGAAGTTGTTAAGCTATTCTGGGGACCCACCCCAAAAACTTAAGCTTACCCTATTGTAAGCTCTATCTAGGTAAAAATATCTCTTTGAACATACTCTTTAAGCATATTAAATTTATCTTCATTTTTCTTATATAACCCAAATCTATCTTTTGCCAATCTATGATAGCTCGAAAATACTACTGAATTAACTTTTTATATTTGATATATTTAATTTAGTCTTTACATATGTTTAAAAATATCTGATAAGGTTAAAGACATAGTTTATAGTTAAATAAAAAAATGAAGGAACTTTTTAGACAAAGTAGCATAATGAAAAGTGATAACTTTTATATAAAGTAACATATAAAAACTAGAAACCTTTTGGATAAAAATGAATGTGTGAAAAGTGGTAACCTCTTAGAAAAATGACTTATAAAAAGTGACATATTTA